GGTGGGTGCTTTGGGAGGAACGGTTGGTGAAAGGGCTGGAGGGAGGCAGCATGTTTGGCCTTGCAGTAATAGGCCTTGGGTTACTGCTGGTAAGCCTGCCTTCCCCTTGTAGGGTTAGAGGAGGTCAGAACATGTGGCCTCCTTGTCGTTTTTGCACAACTCTTCATCAATTCTGTAACTTTTAAAAGAGTGGCCTTAGTACCAATGACATACATGAGTAGTTGAGAGTGTCAAGTCTGTCCTTCGCTGTACTTAGTTTGTGGAAATTACTCAAGTAACAAGTTATCAGATGGTTCTGCATGACAAAATTAGTGATTAAATGAGGAATTATTTTTTAGATGGGGAAGGAATTTTATTGTTTGATCTTGTCTCTACTAATAATTCTGAAAGCAAAGGGATAGAAAAGTTTTAAACAAAAGAAAATGCATTTCTTTCCCAGGGTGACTGCTGAAGAAGGCAAAGCTCTGTTGTGTGTGTAAGTTCTGGCATATATTTATTAGGAAGGCAGAATTTCAGTGACCTGTACCTTTCAGAATATTAAGTGTCTTGAGTCAGTATTTGGAGCCCTGGAACTTCAATAGAGCTGTCACAATTACCCACCTGCTTCCACTACACAGCAAAGCGGTTCCGCAAGGAAGTATTTGAATTTTACGTACAAGATTCAAGTATCCATTTCCCACACAACTAATTCTGATCTGGAGACTAAGTAAATAAATAGGCAAAGGGTAAGATGGAGTAAGGGATGGGAAGGCCAGTGAGGAAAAGACTTCGTTACCAGCCGGAGAAGTTAACTACAGAAACCAAGCTTCATTAAATGCTGGTAGAAGAGATTCCTTTGTGCAGTCAACAGCGTCCTAGAGCCGTGTTTCTGGAAAGTTAGCAAGCATGGGAATCACCCGGGAGTCTTTTTAAAAGGCAGACTCTGAATCAGTGGAGTGGATCCTGAGCGAATGCATTTCTAATGAACTTTTCCCAGGGATAAAGTTTTGAGTAAAATGGCCTTTGACTGAGGTGAGAGACAGGTATTAGCACTTGAAATAACAGTCCAGGTAGATTTTTTTTTTTTAAGGAAGGTTAACTGCATTTCCTTCAGGAACTCTAGAGGGCATCACTGGCTTACAATTGAGTATAGTGACTATACCAGAACGACCTTTAGTTTCCCTGAACAAATTCAATTTGAGGTAACCAAACATGTAATTCAAAAAGACTTGTTAGGCAGAAACATGGCTGGCCAGGCGGGTGAATGATTGAGCCGGAAGGCATTATAAGAACTGGTCAAGCAAGGAGGCACCTGACCAGAGTCCATACCAAACCCCAGCACGTAGCCCTTGCTTAGGAAAGACCCCAGCACCTGACTCTTAACAAAAGCCCTCAACCATTTCCTGCCCACTATGTTAATGAAGTGCTTCAACTCTGCTTCCTGCCCCCATGCTAATGGGGTACTTTAACCTTATTGGTCCCTGTAACACATACCCTGCTCTCACTCCGGTCCTCTATGAACCGGGAAGAAAATCACTATAAAAACCCCTTTCTTTCACCTGGGCAGTGCGACTTCTCTGGCCCCTATCGGACCCGTGGACCTCTCCCAGGAGCGCAGAATACAAACTTCTCTTTAACCCCACTTTTGTGCGTCCTCTTCTCCTTACTGCAACCTTACAAGACTTATATTGAAAAAAAAAAAAAAAAAAAGTTTCCTGTATAACTGGTGTCACCTAATTTTACTTAATTGAATCTTCTTATAGGTCAGTGGATGTGCTGAGTTGTAGAAAACCAGCCAGAACCCACTACTACAAAGTTGTTTAACCAACTCATGGCAAGCCTACAGAGCAGAACTGAACTGCCCTAGAGGGTTTCCAAGGCTGTAATCTTTAAAGAAGCAGACTGCTGCATCTTTCTTGCATGGAGTGGCTGGTGGGTCTGAACCACCAACCTTTTGGATAGCAGCCCTTGACCCTAAACCCAGGAATGGATAACTTGGTTCTGCATTTTTGACTTGTAATCCCATTAGCACATGTTCTGTGCTCAAAGGGGCAGGTACAGTATTTTGAAAATGCATAAACTCAGTCTTATCTGGGATTGTTTTTCCATCTTTCCATTTTCACTAGATTGTTTCATAGTGCAGGAGTCCAAAAGTTTTGACTTGAGTGGTGTCTAATTTCAAAGGTTCTCTCTAAAGTTAACTTCTGATTCCACAGAATTTGGAAGCTAATCTTGGTTGTACAGAGACTGTGGTTACCACCAAAGTGCTGATTTCCATCATGAAATATCAAACTCTAGATATTTGATACCGATGCAGCATTAGTCATATACTAAAACCAAAACCAAAACCCAATCCACCGCCATCCAGTCGATTCCGACTCATAGCAACCCCCACTGGGTTTCCGAGGCAGTAAATCTCCACCAAAGTAGATTGCCCAGGGAGGAAGTGGGAGAGGAGCTGCTGCATTGTAAATTTTGGTCAATGACATGAGACAAAGTATATGTGAACTGCTGTATGAAAAGTGAATTTACTCTGTAAATCTTCAC